CCCCCTGGGCCTCCTGGGGGAGCTCTGGGGGCCGCGGGGGCCTCCCTGGGGACCCTGGCGACCATTCCTGCTCGATGCGTGGACTCCCCGAGGTCTGGAGGAGGGAGGGAGGAGGGAGGGAGGGAGGAGGGAGGAGGGAGGGAGGAGGGAGGGAGGAGGGATGGAGGGTGGAGGGAGGGAGGAGGCAGGAGGGAGGCAGGAGGGGGGGAGGGAGGGAAGGAGGGAGGGCTCCGAGCTCTCTCTCCGGCGCCTCGGAGCTCCAGGCTGCTTCTCTCCATGATGCGGGGCCCCGGACGGTCGACCACACGCACGGGAGCGGCCCCGGGGCCACGTGACCGCTGGCGCGCGGCGCTCGGGGGCGCGCGGGGAGGGCCCGAGCGCGCGAGCCGCTGCTGCCGCGTCGCAGGCGGGCCACCGGGGGGGGCCCAGCTCGGGGATGCACAGCGCCCCCTTTAGAGCAGAGCGTGGTTCAGTGAAAACGACCTCGGGCCCAAACCTGGCGGGCGCAAGCCTGGAGAACGACGGCCGCGGCGCCCCGTCGAGAACCGAGGACGGACAAGTCGCCGATCGACGCGTCAGGGTGGGGGTTCTGTCCACCCCCGACCAACGAGATGGGCTGTCAGGGATCGCTGTGCTTCGGTGCAGGCATTCCTGGTGCAGAGGGCCAGCCTGCAGAGCTGGCGCTCTGGGGGACTTGTACCTGCCACCTCTCCCCTCGGAGCCCCAAGGGTCGGGGGCGGCCAAGAGCGGGGGCGCAGATCATGACCGGCGGCATGTGCGCGGCCCAGGGGCGGGGCCAGGGACATAATGAAATAAGAAGAGGCGCCATGAGATCTGAGGAACTATCATGGCCCACGCCATGATATCCCCCCTGGCCATCACACCCTCTTTGTCGCCCCCGAAAGGGCTACTCCGGCGAAAGGCCACTCCCGCGAGAAGACCACTCTGACGCGTGGCCGCACTTGAGCAGGGACCGACCGTCCCGGCATTCCTATAGGCCTACCACGAAGTGTTCTTAGAACCCGAAAATGCTGTAAGAACAATACTGTTCTTGGAGCATAGACCCGACGGGCTAAAACAAAACAGTCCCAGCCAGAAATGTTCTGAGAGCACTTCGGACGAACCACAAAAGGTTCTTAGAACACTCTCTGGTGGGCCTACAAGCGAGCCAGGACGCTCCGCCACTGCTTGACGCACGTCGGAGGCCTGGCCCTGGGCCCCACTGGCCGCTGGGGATGCGTACACCCTGCGAAATGCTTAAGAAATCATGGGTTAAGAAATTCATAGTCTCAGAACTGGAATAAAAACCCAAAATTCCCATTCGAATCTTAGGATTTACACTGAAACATTAAGAATAATCGAGACCCTGGCCGAAAAATTAGGTTTTCTTAAACATCGCCTAAGGTGTATCGTTTTCCCCAGCGGCGTGGCCTGGGCCCCACTGGCCGATTTAACCCCCCTAGATGGGGATTTAGGTCGTCCCTTCGAGCTGCGTGAGGTGAATCCCCAACTAGAGTGGTAATCTGGTCGGGGTCTCGACGGGGATAGGGGACGATGGGGATGGGGGGTGGTTAGACGATACCGAGAGAAAGCCACTTTGACGCGTGGCCACACGTCGGAGGCCAGGGCTGAACCTAAACGGTGTTTTTCGTTTTCGTGTTGTTTTCGTTTTCCCCCGTTTTGTCTTCAGTCCGCATCTACCGCAAAGCGAAGTCGAAACGAAAACGGCCCACGAAATCGCCAGAACACCGTTTAGGTCCAGCCCTGTCGGAGGCCACTACTGGGAGGTTTTCGTCGGAAGGACTAAACAGGATTAAGCCGCCTTGGGGGGCTGTTACGCCAGAATGGGCCTCGGATCAAGCCAGATTAAGCGGGATTTAGCAGGATTAAACCAGATTCAGCGGAACCAAGCGGGATTAGGCGGGATTAAGCCGGATTTCGGACCAGGGCAAAATCAGAATTCGACCTCCCAGGAGTTGCATCCGAACCGAGGAGAGCGCCACTCTGATCGGGAGCGGCCAAGAGGGGGGCGTCCAAGAGGGGTGGGTGCAAATCGTGGCCGGCGGCACGTGCGCGGCCCAGCGGGAGGGCCAGGGACGCAATGAAGCAAGAAGAGGCGCCATGAGATCTGGGGAGATATCATGGCCCCCGCCATGACATCCCCCCTCCGAGTCATCAACCCCCTCTTTGCCGCATCCGACGTCGTGACTTTTTCATTACGGGGTCCCCGGAAGTCTCGACCCCTTCCCCAGGACCGGCTTTTCATCCTGAGTCGTTTCTTGACGGTCCTGCAGCCCGGCGAGGGCCCCTGGAGGCCGAAAACTGTGAAAAACCGCCGCCATGCTTTTTTCAATATACGTTGGACCTCTGGGTAGGGATGTGCTTCGAGCTGCTAAGCTCCCTCGCGCGCTTTCGCGCCACCGCGCCCATGGAGCGCGCCCGCTCTGGCACAGCCGGAGGGCTCGGGGAGGCGTGCCGCATGCTCGTCGGAGGCCCGCTGCGCAAGCGTCGTCGTGATTTTCTCAGTGCGTTCTCAGAGCGTTCCGGAACGCTCTGGAGCGGCCGCGGCGCCCAATACATCCTCCAAACCCGCCGATTCTCAGAGATTTCGAGTTATCCCGATCCGATTTTGTCCCGATCTCCGCGTCGTTTTACGAGGGCCCCTGGAGGCCGAAAACTGTAAAAGACCGCCGTCGTGATTTCCTCAGTGCGCTGGATCTCTGGGGGGCCTGGCCCCGGCAGCGCCCGGGGGCAGAGGCTGCGGCGGAGGCCAGCCTCCGCGGGCCAGGGCACGCCGCGGAGCAGGGCGAGGCCGCCGCCCTCGCGCAGCAGCGCCCGCCGCGCCTCGGCGAGCGCCGCCGCCAGCGCGCCTGGGGCGTCGCTCGTCGCGCGGGTGGGCTCCTCCTCCTCCTCCTCCTCCTCCTCCTCCTCCTCCTCCTCCTCCTCCTCCGCCTCCTCCTCCTCCTCCTCCTCCTCCTCCTCCTCCCTCTGCTCCTCCTCCCTCTGATCCGGCGACGTAGGACGAAGCCAGGACGAGGGTACAGTCATCGGCCTGACCTAAGGAACGATGCACAAGGAACGAAGCCCCCTTTTTTTTTTCTCAAGGGATCACGCACAAGGGGCCCTGGGGCACACAAGCAAGTAGACACAACTAACAGGATTCCCCATGTTTTCCCATATTTTCTGGGTTTTTGTCTTCCCCCCAGCTTCCCATGTTTTCCCGTATTTTTCCTGGGAGTCGACGATGATTTGTGTCTGTGTGTTTCTTTCCCTCCTGACAGACGTAGGACGAAGCCAGGACGAGGATACAATCATCGGCCTGACCTACGGAACGATACACAAGGAACGAAGCCCCTTTTGCCCCCAAACAGCTTGCTGAACGGGTTTGCCGTTGTGGTAGAAGCTAACTCCGGCCGAGGGAATTCAAAGCAGAGACGTCCTCCAAAAAATTTGGTGGTCTGGGCCGTTTCGCCTGAGACATCCTCGCAACTCTCGTTTCTGAGTTGTCCGGGATTGGGCGTTTCGCGTGAGACATCCTCCAAACTCTGAGTTCCCAGATGCCGCGCAATAGGTGGTCCAGCCCTTTTCGCCTGAGACGTCCTCGAAACTCTGAACTCCCAGATGCCGCGCGAGAGGTGGATCGCCTGAGACATCCTCCAAACTCTGACCTCGGAGATGCCGTGCGCGAGGTGGTCCAGCGCGTTTCGCCTGAGACATCCGCGCAACGCTGAGTTCTGAGATGCCGCGCAAGAGGTGGTCCAGCCCATTTCGCCTGAGACATCCTCGCAACTCTGGGCTCCGAGATGCCGCGCAAGAGGTGGTCCGGCCCGTTTCGCCTGAGACATCCTCCAAACTCTGAGCCCTGATATGCCGTGCGCGAGGTGGTCCGGCCCGTTTTGCCTGAGACATCCTCGCAACTCTGCGCTCTCTGATGCCGCGCGAGAGGTGGTCCGGCCCGTTTCGCTTGAGACATCCTCCAAACTCTGAGCCCCGAGATGCCGCCAAAGAGGTGGTCCGGCCCGTTTCAATTGAGACATCCTCGCACTTCTGCATTCCGAAATGCCGCGCGAGAGGTGGTCCGGCCCGTTTCGTCTGAGACGTCCTGAGCTCTGAGATGCCGCGCGCGAGGTGGTCTTGCCCGTTTCGCCTGAGACATCCTCGAAACTCTGAGCTCTGAGCTGCCGCGCAAGAGGTGGTCCAGCACATTTCGCCTGAGACATCCTCGCAACTCTGACCTGGGAGATGCCGCGCGCGACGTAGTCCAGCCCGTTTCGCTTGAGACATCCTCGCAACTCTGAGCTCTGAGATGCCCTGCGCGAGGTGGTCCGGCCCGTCTCACCTGAGACATCCTCGCAACTCTGAGCTCTGAGATGCCGTGCGCAAGGTGGTCCGGCCCGTTTCGCACAAGACATTTTCGCATCTCTGAGCTCCCAGATGCCGCGCAAGAGGTGGTCCAGCCTGGGGGCCCGGAAGACCACATGTTACATGTCCCCCCTGGGACCCTGGGAGCCCCAGGAGGCCCCAGAGAGCTTCAGGAGGCCGCAGGACGCCCAGGACAAGCCCCAGGGGTCCCCAGGAGATTCCCAGGAGGCTCCCAGGAGGCCCCAGGAGGCCCCCTATCAGAACGTGTCAAGTTAATACGCATTCGGTGCCGATTCGTTGATTTGCTCTTGTGGCCCCCCCTCTTTTTGGGGGGCCCAGACGGCCACATGTCAGATATCCCCCCCTGGGAGCCCCAAGAGGCTTCAGGAAGCCCCGGGTGGGGTCCAGGAGGCCACAGGAGGCCACAGGAGGCCCAGGAGGAAGCCCCTGGAGGTCCCCATGGAAACCACAATGGGTTTAAAAACCCTGTTTGGTGATACTGCACTCCGGCTATAATTCCAAGGAGTAACGCACAAGGAACGATACATTCATATATATATATATATATATATATATATATATCCGCCGGCCCCCTTGTGGGGCCACCAGGCTGTAGGCGCGGGTTCGCAGTTTCCTGTACCAGTTGTAGCTTGTAGTTTCCAGTGTTACAGTTCTGCTTCTTGCTGGTTACTGTAACTAGTTGATTGACCGCGCGAGGGGGGGGAGGCCCAAACGGAACTTTTAGCACCCCCTGGGCGCGTTGTCTGAATTGCTGGGGGGGCTCGAAATCGACACCCCTCACGCAGATCCGCGGGGTCAGGGTCCAAAAACACATTGGATTTGCCACATTTCTGAAATTCGGTGCCACCCCTCACGCAGATCCGCGGGGTCAGGGTCCAAAAACACAGGGGATTTGCCACATTTCTGAAATTCGGTGCCACCCCTCACGCAGATCCGCGGGGTCAGGGTCCAAAAACACATGGGATTTGCCACATTTCTGAAATTCGGTGCCACCCCTCACGCAGATCCGCGGGGTCAGGGTCCAAAAACACAGGGATTTGCCACATTTCTGAAATTCGGTGCCACCCCTCACGCAGATCCGCGGGGTCAGGGTCCAAAAACACATGGGATTTGCCACATTTCTGAAATTCGGTGCCACCCCTCACGCAGATCCGCGGGGTCAGGGTCCAAAAACACAGGGGATTTGCCACATTTCTGAAATTCGGTGCCACCACTCACGCAGATCCGCGGGGTCAGGGAAAAACACAGGGGATTTGCCACATTTCTGAAATTCGGTGCCACCACTCACGCAGATCTGCGGGGTCAGAGTCCAAAAACGCAGGGGATTTGCTACATTTCTGAAATTCGGTGCCACCCCTCACGCAGATCCGCGGGGTCAGGGTCCAAAAACACAGGGATTTGCCACATTTCTGAAATCCGGTGCCACCCCTCATGCAGATCCGCGGGGTCAGGGTCCAAAAACACATGGGATTTGCCACATTTCTGAAATTCGGTGCCACCCCTCACGCACATCCATCGCAAGGCGTGGTAACCCAAACTGCGAGTACTCCCTCGGCCCTTTAATCCCAAGGTGTGGTAACCAAGCTCGTAAACCATACACGTCTTACCAATCGCCCTGTGTGGTAACCCCTCTTGTGATCAGTTGGTTTTGCCGATTGCGAATCGGCCTCGCATGAAGTTCCGATACTGCTGCACGACAGCGCCAAAGCCTCATGACTTAGCTCTTCCATGGCCCATTCTCCGAGAGAGGGGGCCGGCGGCAGGGGGTGAAGCCCTTACGGATACATATATATATATATATATATACATATATACTTAGATTTATACATATATATAACGCAAATCGCGCACAGTGGACGATAACAACGCATGCAAACCTAAGGCCCCTTTCGAAAAAACAAGTGTTGCCTACCCAGGCCACCCACCGTAGGGCGGCGTGGCCTGAGCCGCACTGGCCGATGTACCTCTAACTGGGGACATAGACCATTCCCTTCGGATGTCGAGGAGGGTGTATCCACAACTGGGGTGGTAATTTGGTGGGGGTCTCGAAGGGGATGAGGATGGGGATGGGGTTAAGTCGGGCCTGTCCTCCTACAGGGGGATTTTCGACGAAACATAAAAAATAGCCCCAGAAATAACCTAAAAATAGTCCAAAAATAGTCTGGGGACTATTTTTTGAATATTTTTTTACCTGTTTGAACAATTTTCTGAAGATCTATAATTTGTCATCGAAAATCCCCCTGTAGGGGGACACGCCCGACATAAGGATGGGGGTCGGTTAAACGATACTGAGACAGGATCGGGTGAGGATGAATCGAGAATCTCTGAGGTCCAGCGGCTCTGGAGGATGCATCGGGCGCCGCGGCCTTCTCAGAGCGTTCTGGGACGCTCCGAGAGGGTCCTGGAGCGCTCTGGGACGGATCTACCCTCGTCCTGGCGCCGCCCGAACATGAGGGGGCGAAGAAGCGTTGACCCTTCGTGCTCCTCCAGGGACCCCCAGGGGGGCCCCATCCCGGGCCCCTCTAAGGCGCAGAAGGTGCACTCTTCTTCGCCCCCCCCCGTTACGCAACGCCCGCGCGCCGCCGGCGCCGAGCGAGCCCGGCCCGACCGCGCTCTCGTCGGGCTCGATGCCGAAGTACCGCATGGCGTCCACGAAGCCAGACAGCGCCTCGACGGCCTCGCGGGGGAGAAGGTGCCGATGCTGCGACAGACGAAGCATGGCCACAGGAACGCGGGTCAAGAACACGAGCCCCTTCACCAGGGGCCCATGACCCCCAGGAGATGCCCAAAACAAGAAGCAGTTCAAGGTGGAGGGCGCCCAACACGAAGAACCTAAAGGAACCCCCCAAAGCTAGGGTTGCTTTTACCCCCCGCGCCAGCTGTACCCTTGTCTCGTTTTCACCTGTTTGAGCGAGAGGCCCGAGCTCAGTTGTGTTTGAAAACGCTGCGGGGCGCTTCTGCTTCGTTGCCCACTTTCCGATTTCAACTCTACCAAGCGTCCAAACATGGCACCCCAGAGAATGGGTATCTCAGGCTGTCGGCATCGTGACATCTAGAGTTCGGTCGGGCGTGTCCCCCTACAGGCGGATGTTCGGCGAAAAATTAGAAATACGCGAAACATACCCCCGAATAGTCAAACAATACTCGAAAAATCGTCCCGGACGAATGTCTGATCATTTTTGAACATTCCCCCTGCGGAGAGGGACAGGCCCGACTGAACTCCAGAGGCGCCTGCAAAACGCAGCGAAGAGGGACGGCAGACGGTGGGGTGGGCCACGGGCCGCCGCCCCCCCGCACTCGAAGACGAAGCAGAGACTGCGTTCCAAACTTAAGGAGAAAAAAAAAGCAGTAGGAAAAAGGAACCTTAAATTTTTGACACCCTCCTTGTAAAGGTCGCGCACTGGCATGGAGGGTGATGTAGATTTCGCGGCCTCTGGGAACAATTACCATTAAGATCGACGTGCTCGTCATCAGTTTAACTGATGACGAGCACGTCGATCGTCCAGAAGGGACCTCAACCAACCCGGGCAAGAACCCCAAAGTGCAAGCGCTGCTCGGGGGAGAGCTTTGCAGCAGGCCTCGTTTTGTTTTCGTTGACCCTCGCTCTTGTCTCGAATCCGCCTTTCCCGCAAAACGAAATCGAAACGAAAACGGCCCACGAAATCGCAAAAAAACACCGTTTAGGTCCAGCACTGCTTTGCAAGAGCATCCCAGGTATCCAGGGAGCAGCGGTAGCGGCAGCTTTTGGCCCCCCAGCCTCTGCGGCCAGCACCACCGCTGGCAGCCAGGGCGGCGGCGCCGGCGCGGGCCCGGCGTCTTCCTGACTACCTACCAGACCACCCCAACCCAACCCGAAGACCCGAATTTCGGGTTGGGGGGGGCAAGGGTTCCATACGTGTTTTTTCGATGGTTCCCGACCCCCCCCC